TGTCTGCTTCATTCTCCTCTACCCCTTCTAAGACGAGACGATGAGTTGTAGTGCAACTTTAATCTTTATTGGATGACTTTTTTGTCTTTGACCCGTTCCCTAGATTTTGATCAAGTTTTGTTTCTTCTGCAAACAAGGCCTTTCTCTGGCTTCTGTAAATGAAGATTTATATTGAATTGGAAAATGGAATGGCACATTGATTGATCACCTGATGCTCTGGCTGGCTTTTGCTAATTAATTTTGATACTAATTTATTTGACACTACTCAATCTAAATTCATCCGTGGTAAACAAGCACAGACAGTTCAGTTCCTCGTCATGCCAGTAAGCTATACTGTGACTGTCACTGACATGTCTCGCTATTCTCGGAGTGAGAATAGCGAGACATGGGTTATTCTCACCCCGAGAATAGCGAGACATGTCAGTGACAGTCACAGTATAGCTTACTGGCATGACGAGGAACTGAACTGTCTGTGCTTGTTTACCACGGATGAATTTAGATTGAGTAGTGTCAATTAAATTAATATTAAAATTAATTAGCAAAAGCCAGCCAGAGCATCAGGTGATCAATCAATGTGCCATTCCATTTTCCAATTCAATATAAATCTTCATTTACAGAAGCCAGAGAAAGGCCTTGTTGCAGAAGAAACAAAACTTGATCAAAATCTAGGGAACGGGTCAAAGACAAAAAAGTCATCCAATAAAGATTAAAGTTGCACTACAACTCATCGTCTCGTCTTAGAAGGGTAAGAGGAAGAATGAAGCAGACAACATTAGATCGACGTCACTGGAAAGTTCATCAACTTCGACAAGTTGACTTTAAAAAAGAGAAGATTACGAAACAGACATGATTATCCACAGAATGTTCTATTTCTCATTATCTGTCTCTCAGCTGGGTCATAAAAAATCTTCATTTAAACAGTAGTACAAAAAAGTAGCGTAAGAGCACCAGAAAAGCTGATCAAGGTGATAAGAAATGGACTTCTTCCTCACTTTTCTACACCCGCGTCGTCATTGTTGACAAACACAGCGGGTTCATGTGACGGGAAGGGGAATAACTACTCAATACTGTTGATTGTAAAAGAGCTTTGTCCCATTTCTTTTCTTTTCTTTTTACGAATCAATTATTCGACTGTCAAACAAAAGCTGTCACTTGTTACTGTCGCATGTCTCTCTCTCTCCCCTCCCCCCCCCCCCCCCCCCTTTTTTTCTTTCTCTTTCTCCCCTCTTCCTCTTTCAATGTCCTTATAAAAATGTTTGTATATGGGTTTTTAAGCCCCCATCGAAACAATTTAGATAATACAAGTTAGAGGGGGCTCCCCGACCCAAATTCAACTGTCCTGTCAGGGCCAACCCAGGCTGAGAGGTAAACATAGATGTATACTAGTACTCAATGTACTACTAGTATGGAGGGATACAACAACCCAGAGAAACCCCGAAATACTCGATAAAAATTCTCCCCACTCGGTAATCGAACCCAGGTCTCCCGCGCGCGGCTGCGGAACGCCCACCGCTATACAAAAGACAACGATTCTCTATGTCTGTTCCTTTGTCTGTCTGTTTGTCTGTTTATCTGTCTGTCTCTCTCTGTCTGTCTCTATCTGTCTCTCTGATTCTCTGCCCCCCCCCCCCCCCCGCCTCTCTCTCTCTCTCTCTCTCTCTCTCTCTCTCTCTCTCTCTCTCTCTCTCTCTCTCTCTCTCTCTCTCTCTCTCTCTCTCTCTCTCTCTCTCTCTCTCTCTCTCTCGTTGAAGACATGTAACAACTAACATACAGCACTGACAAACTTCCACAGTACTGTGTAGAAGGCACAGATAGAGAGTTATATCAAATGAAAAGCCTATGCACACACTTTATAACCACCTTCCCCTTCCTTCCTTTCCCTTCCTACCCAATTTCTTCCTTCCGCACTCACTCACTCGACCGTCCCTCACTCATTCACTCAACTACCTACTTACCTCACCATCTACCTTGTTGCGCCGATAGCTAAATTAATGTCCTGCTGGACTGCATGCCTACAGTTGTGCGGATGGTGGTGGTTTATTCTTGAACCTGGCTTGGATCATTTAATTTAGTGATAGGCATTAAAAGTGAGAGTTCATCTTGCTTCTTAATTAATTGATGCAGTGTAATTGGTAGAGACGTTAAAAAACTTGCGATACCCCTATCTAGAAACCCATACACTTGGGTACTCGTGCAGCCACATTCATTCTCTCTCTCTCTCTCTCTCTCTCTCTCTCTCTCTCTCTCTCTCTCTCTCTCCCCTCCCCCTCTCTCTAAGTTACTTTTAAGGCAACATAACAATATAGGCCTATTATTCTCCTACCTTACTCGACACAAGAAACCCACTGGGTATAAATTAGGATTTCTTATGATTTTGAAGCTAAATATTCTGAAATAACTGAACCTGGCGTATTCGATTTAAAGAGAATTAAATCTGGAATGCTAAGGCAACTAATTGGAGGGAGAAATAACGTTGTTGGTGTGTTGTTTTTTGGTTTTTTTTTTAAAAAGTAGAGCATTGTACGCTAGTACAGTTCCTCCCAGAGCTCAATGGCCATAGGTGACGTCAAAGGCCCTATTGCTGGCTTCTATCCCTCCCACTGTCTCAACTCTTCGACTCCATTCTATAGTCTTTTTGTGGCCCATTGTAAACTGCTCCATTGGATGGGTGAACTGTGGAGGGTCTAACTAAGTAAAATAGTGGTTTAATTTAGGGCAAGTAGCTGACGATCTCTACCTACCCCCCCCCTAATTCCCCCCTTTCCTCTTACCCTTCTTTTCTGGCAGATATGGATATTGTTGTCAGTTAGCAGATGGCGGTTCAGTCTGACCAGTCAAACATTTCCCCTTCCCCAATCCCTTCTTATCGTGACAAATTCCACGAATGTTTTACCAGTGATGAGCCGAATTCCCTTTAGATGCCTTTAAGATGCTGTGTACTTAAAGAAAAGGTTGCCCCAAGTTAGAGGCTAATATAAATGTACGCTGACCCCCGTCCCATCTACCCCTGTCTGGAAAAGTTAACTACCAATGTTAATGCTTAGCGCTTGTTTTACAGTTCCCTTTTCTTTTCTGTTTTTTTTTAAAGTTGCAGGTATGCCATGTTTGGGCGTTATTTATGTTTATCATACACTTAAAACATTCCCCTTGAAACTGATAACTGCCTATATTATAGTCATCTCGATCGTCATTAACACCCGCACGAATGGCTCATGCTCACGGTAAGATGTACTTTAGAGATTTAGAGACCTTAAGTGTGTTGGAAAATTTGGGGTCTTCTTAACTCTTTGATCTTTGTTTTATGAGATTTTGCTCCAGCATTGGCCAACTTACACTATTTGACCCCAGTCATAACGACCTAAGTTTAAACGTACCAGATGTACCAACCCAACAATTATGTCGCGTATGAGCCTGGAACTATGCAGGGATTGCCTGCCGCCATCTGGCGTCTGCCGTTTCATTCTCAAGACTCTCAGGCTCATAATGTTATTCTGTCTTGACGGGAACTGGACAAGCGCTGTCGTCTGCGTTTCTTCCGGCGGGAAAATGCCGTCTGCTATTCCTTGTCGCCTTCTGACGTTATGCGTTTTGATTAGTTTGTGCTGGATATTATGTTCTCATTGTGTGACCACAGGCGACCTTCAAGAAGCTGACATCTGTAAGTAAAGAAGAAAAAAAAAGGAAAAGAAAAAAATATACCAAAGTTTAACGAGGACCTGCGAGCTCAGGTTAGATTTGTCTGACTAAATAAATGTCATTGATTGCAGCCACGGTCGCATTCTTATCATTGTTTCGACAATGTTTGCCAAGACAAACAAGGGTGTTGTTGTGACGAGATAGATTAAGTGTTGATTAGAGTCAGTGTAAGGCGTCTCTCACATGGAGAAGAGTCATAGAGAATGGTGTACAAAAGTGTGGGAAGACATGGAATATTAAAATCAAGAGGCTAGCCCAGGACAGGGAAATGTGGAAAGTATTTGTTTGTGCCCTATACCCTGGTGCAGGGTGAGAAAGACGGTGGTGATAATGATGAAGGCTTTTCCCACGCCACACGGTTGTTGAGTTTGGTTCAATAGGAAGTCTTAAACATAGTAGGTTGACTATACATTATATCGTTATCATTATTATTATTATTATTATTATTATTATTATTATTATTATTATTATTATTATTATTATTATTATTATTTTTATCATTATTGGTTTAACAATGTTGAGTTTTGTCAAGTCTAGGGAGGAGGGGTCAACGATTTTAACCAAGACATATAGGACTTTGTTTAGATCGTGCGAACAACACAGTTATTTTGTTATTACTGTATAGTTATTTTGTTATTACTGTATCTATCTGTGTTGTTGTTCTTAGTGTGATGTGAAATGTCAATAGGTTAATATATCCCTGGAAATAAGGAGGCGAACTTTTTGCTTCCAGCGGCCAGTCCCGTGTTCAAGCGCGTTGCTGGAGGAATAGATGTGGGTCCAACGGAATTTCCCTGGCAGGTGACAACTCATCATCATCATCATCATCATCATCATCATCATCATCATCATCATCATCATCATCATCATCATCATCATCATCATCATCTTACATTGCTGTCTTATAAGGACCTGTCGGTCTGCTGAATTTGGTGAAAGTGTATATCAAAATGGATCCAAAGATAAGATTCAAACGAGCCAAAGGCTTATCTTTTCACTTGAAGCTGACAAAGACAGCTAATTCATAATACCTGCAAAAACTGAGACACTGCGTTTACTGCGAAGACAAACCCATCCCGGCTCCATTCTGTTTGCTAAATATGAAGGCATACTTTGTGTATTGTTACCGGGTGAAGCAAACCCTTGATAAGTCTCTAAACTTGTAACGTTTAGCTTCACATTATTATGAGCAGACGCTATTTGCTTCAAGACAAAAAATATAATAAATAAATAAATAAATAAATAAATAAATAAATAAATAAATAAATAAATAAATAAATAAATAAAATGAAATAAAAACACAAAAAATCACAAAAAACAAAACAAACACACGGGCACGCACACAAACGAAAAAAATAAAGCAACAGCAAACCAAATCAAACAACAACAACAACAACAAACAAGCACAGAAAAGAACGAATAAAAAGAAGAAGCTTTATATTCTTCACTTGCCATGTTGGACCGTATATGTTTTTGTTTTGTTTGTTTTTGCTCCTCTAAATATGGACCGCCTGCATCCTATATTGCTGTTGTTTTTGTTGTTGTTGCTGCTGCTGACGTTGTCGTTGTCGTTGTCGTCGTTGTCGTCGTCATCGTCGTCCTGGTACATTCTTCAGGCATGTACGAGAACAATGATTCATGCAATCATCCCCAGGTCCGCCTTCGGTCATTTGGTCAGGTCATTTACAGTGGGGCGCTCATAGCTGACAACTGGGTCGTCACAGCCGCCTCGTGCTTTGACGGGTAAGTCATACAAGTGAGAGAACATTTTGGTAACGGACGAGAAGATAAAGAGCAGTGGATAAACTCCCAAATACACCCTTAAACAATTATCAGGTTTTCTTTGCATTCCTGTATTTGTTTGCACGCGTGTTGTTGGTTTTGTACGTGTGGGTGCGTTTGGATAACGGACGAGAAGATAAAGAGCAGCGGATAAACTCCCAAATACACCCTAAAACAATGATAAGGTTTTATTAGCATTCCTGTATTTGTTTGCACGCTTGTTGTTGGTTTTAGGGGGAACAATAAACCAAAATAAAGGGGGGGGGGGAGATGATTCGAATTTTATGACCTACTACATGATATAAATTGATCTTTCCCAAGATGGGTTCTATAGTTTTAAACTTGAGTACGATATTGATTGCTGGTAGCTACTGACGTCTGAAGTTCTGATCCGGCGTCTAGTAACAAACGATAGAACAATTCTTTTTGCGGTATATGAAGTGTGCCAATGAGTAGCCGATTAGCTAAAGATGATAACCTAAAAATGAATGGATTAAATCTTGGGTTTTATTTTTAAATATATTTTTTTGGTAAGTGTTTTACAGCGCTGGCTACTGCACAGGGTCGTATGAGCGCACAGGATACTTTAATCCTATCTGTACGCCGTGTCATACTATCGTATCCATACGACGTGGGGAACTCTGTGCCACCACTTTCCAAAGAAGAATTTTACTCGTTAATCCGATCCGTATGCTTTGCATAGCAGCCTGTCAAAATGATTTTTTGAGAAATACTGAAAGTTTCAAAGAGATCTTCGTACTAGAAGTATTCTAAAATGTGAAGAATACAACCCGGGAGTACAAAATGACCCCATGGCGTACGGATAGGGTTACACGTTTTCATTTTGTATGAAATTTTAAATTTTGTGCTGGTGGCTGCTGAAGCCTACTTTTATCGATTTTAGACCACCAAGGGATCTTTAACGTGCGCAACTTGTAGGCCTACATGGAAAATCCGAGATTTTTCGTCCTTATCCAAGAGGGCTAGGTGTATATCTTTCCTACCATAAGATCAGGGGTGTGGCTGAACGATAGCAGTAAAAAGGAGTAAAGGAGTAGCAGTAGAAATGCTGCAGAAAGAATCAGGAGCCCAGAGGAGGGAGCAAAGGAGGTGAGAAGACGGGGGCAGAAAGTGGAAACGAAAGCAGACGACAGAACATTGTTAGGGAGCAGGAAAGGACGTGAAAGGTGACAATTTTAGAGAAGAACATTTTCCGTCGCTATCCGGATTCGAACCCGGAACCTATTGAATGAGAGGTGAAGACCTTAACCTCTAGGCAACGTGAGCCCTCATTAAATCTAGGATAAACAGTAAATTCCTATTAAAGCTCAACTTTTAAGTTATTTTTTAAAACACTTTTACTGTTCATCGACTACTCTTTGACCTTTCTGGTTGTTGTTGTTTTGTTTTTTTAATTGTTTGTTTATTTTTGGTGTAATATTTACGTCATTTACAGGCTCATACTTTCTTCATTCATGTTTTTTCCTTCAGTTTGTCAAGTTCATATCATATAATATTTTCCCTTGTTAAAGTAAAGCTACAAGTTTTCATTTATTAAATAAATTTGCTTAACTGTCTAACCCTCCTATTCCTCTTCTTTTTGGTCTTACTCTTATTCTAGAATTCCTGGCCTCTGCTTTCTAACTCAAACCTACAACTCCTAACACGAACCGCTACATCTTACTCGCAACTCCTAAAATGAATCCCCACGCCCTGCCCGTATTATCTCTTAACACTAGCACCAGCCCCCATTAAAACATTAATCCCGAAAATGTTAACTCTTATATCTCCAGTAAATTCTAACCTGAAAACCTATCTCCAGAGCTATAGCCCTTCATCCCCAAACCCCTAAATCTCTTTTCCTACGCCGTCACATCTCATCTCACCGATCGGCGATGTTTGCCACCTTGTTTCTTTGGATTTCACCAAAATGCTTTTGCTTTTAATGGCTAGGGTTTTGACTTTATGAGTCTTGTGATGGCACACTGCTAATACCTAAAACCTAACACCAGCCCCCTCACCCTTACTGTGAAATCGGACTCACCAAAAACTGACCTTTATAGAAGTTCCAAACACATAAGTATGATCAAAGAGTCTACATAACAAGAGGGGCCACTTCTCTCTTTGAGCCAATTAAAAAAGTGTCCTCAAAATTCGGTGATAATCTTTAACATCGTTTAGTGCGATTACAGATCTAAGCTTTCTCCTTTCCTTCTTCCTGCTTGGTTCTGTGCTGTTCCTACGGGGCTGCATGATCTGTTTTTGGAACTCTCTCTCTCTCTCTCTCTCTCTCTCTCTCTCTCTCTCTCTCTCTCTCTCTCTCTCTCTCTCTCTCTCTCTCTCTCTCTCTCTCTCTCTCTCTCTCTCTCTCTGTCTCCCCCCCCCCCCAGTATATTTATGTATACACGGATGAACTCCCTATCATCAAGTCATCAAGTACAAGATCTTGATCATGGTCAGAGGCGAAGCGTCTATATAATCAAATAATCACTGCTTCCCTTCCTAATTTTGAAACATTGTCGCAGTCAAATTCACCCATAAACGTATAAACTTCATAAATTAAATGTAAAAAGACGTTCATAATCAACAATGAACAGTATGCCTAACATTCTAAACGGTTTCATTGCCACAGAAATAGCCTGTTCTCCCCTCTTGGGCCACCCCATAAGCAGTCACAAGCTTTGATTAAGTAAGCTTAAAGTGAGACTGGAAGAGTCTACCAACATAGTTGAAGGGAACATGTGCATAGCAGTCTAAACTGTTTCATTGCCACACCCTGTTCACCCCTTTCGGGCCACAGTTATAATCAGTCTCAAGCACTGGTTAGGTAAGCTATTACACTGGTCGAGTCTACCTCACAGATGTGAGGGGAACTAACTCCTAATAATCTCTCACTGCTGCGAGAGCTTGTTTTTTTCCCTCGACTTTTTACTGCCCTATAATCAGATCGTGACCTCGATTATGACACAGGCTCGTGGCCGCGAAAGGCTAGACAAAAAACAGCCAAATGTGAAATTTAAAAAATTATAATTGTCATGTTCTACCAAAGAGTTAGACTCCCTGGTAGATCTATAACATATAGATCTAGTACTGACATCTCTGCTTCTTTGCTTTGTGTTTGTGTATTCAGATCTAAAGTTAAATTTAATTTTAATTGGAATTGATATTTAATGAGATACTTTCCCGATTATTTTGGCGGTTGAACATACAATAATGAATTCCGGGTTTGTTTTCATTCACAACTCTGAGTCGCCGCCTCGAGCAAGGTTCTTGTGCGATATCCCCAGGCCATATCTGGTCCCGTTTCACTTTGATTACCCTGTCAAACAAGTCAGCCTTCGCCTCTGATTATGGTTCATCTTTCATTTCTTTGCTCTCCTAAACTCATACAAAAACATCGACAATTACTGCTCTATGTCATCAGGAATTACTCTCCCTCCCAATGGAACGCCAAGCTCGGAGGCGTGTACACGAGCTGGAGGGAAGGGACGAGGAGAGCTGTTTTCGTGGACAGCATTTTGCTGCACGGCGGCTACAGCCGGCCGGACGATAACAGTACTCTGAACGACAGACCACTGCCTCATGACCTGGCACTGGTCAAGCTAAATCTCTCGCACATCGCGGGTCTGGGCGTCAAGGTGAGAACAGTTTAGAGCGCCCACCGACATAATATCTTTTGAGAATCAAGAAGCGATAAAATAATAACATGCAGCTTCATGGACACGCGTTAACTCCTTCACTGCCTGGCCCGAGACTGGCTCGGGCTCTCTGGTGGACTAAAAGTAGAAGCAAATTCTTGTGTTACATGCATATATATTTTATTCGATGTGTCTTGATGTCCTTTCGAGTCTGTGTAAGGGTGGGGAAAGGGGATAAGATTGTGATTAACCCCTTACCCCCTACCCCGATCCCTATACCCCCTCCCCCTTAATCCCTCCGTCCTATACACCCCCCCCCCCATTCTAACCACAATGCCAAAATCCCCCTATACCCCTCAATACCTCCCCAAACCAAACCTCATCCCAGTCCCCCTGGGGTCTGAGCATCAAGATGAGTACTGTTTTGAGTACCTATCGATACATCTTTAGAGCTATCCCCCCTGCCGACCTTCCCTCAGCCTCCTCTTTCCCCCAGCCTCCCCACCCCCTGCCCCCCAGCCTGAGGAGCGGGGTGGGTTTGGAGAAAGAGAGCGAACAAGTCAGACAGACAGACAGACAGACAGACAGACAGACAGACAGACAGACAGACAGACAGACAGACAGACAGAAAGACAGACAGAAAGACAGACAGTCAGACAGACAGACAGACAGATACCCCTCTTTACAATACTGTCAACCATCTGTCTTCTTTATAATATTGTTTTCTCTACCAGTTTCCACACTTGAGAATGGCTCAGAGTGAGATGGGCCTAAACGACTCCACTTGTTACGTCATCGGATGGGGTTCCCTTGGTCCTGGTGAGTATCCTGCTCTGGGTGGCTGGTGAACATGACATCCTTATAAATACATCTTGTGACCTTTTGATTACAGGGGTTTTGTTTTTAATCTCCGCGGGGTCCGTTTTTTCAAAATAGTTTTAATAAGGTTTTTCGTCTCTTGCAACTTCATAAGGTCATATGAGCGCCAAGGAGTGGATGTCAACAGAGAAGTCCAAACAGGGAATCGGGTTTACTCTGCTCACCTCTCTAGCCTCAACAGCACAAAGTCTGCTTCTGCTATCAAGGCACATCGGAAATAGCAGTTCACAAGAGAATGACAAACTTACAAAAGAAGTAGAGGGAAAATGACAATAGTAAGGAGGGAAAAAAAGCAACAGTTCTCCCAATGTTGTTCAGGCACAGTATGAGCATGACATTGACAAAATTAGCCAATTTACATTACTACTGTGCATAAAAACGTGTTAATATCCCCCTTTTGAGAATGACATAAAGACAATTTCAGTCAGTCACACTGCACTAGTAGTGGTTGGGGGGGGGGGGGGACATGGGGTCCAATTCAGTTTTTGATGTATATAGGGGATGTAGACGTGATTATGTTGTGACAGGGGCAGAGCGAAAACTTAAACTTAAACCCAATGTATTAGGTTTAGACACGTATTAAAATACACTTCGAATCTTTGGAATAATGTCTTGTCGATCATTGCTCATTTGCATTTCCCCTTGTTAAAGCAATCAAAATCTTGAATATCTCGAATATCTCAACTACCAGTAGTACCCTTAGACGCAGACGCGCGTGTTTGTGTTCGTGTTCGTGTGTGTGTGTGTGTGTGTGTGTGTGTGTGTGTGTGTGTGTGTGTGTGTGTGTGTGTGTGTGTGTGTGTGTGTGTGTGTGTTAATGAGCGAGATCGATAGGTAGATAGACAGTGGGTAGATCAATACGTAGATAGATGAGAGAGAAAGAGAGAGAGAGAGAGAGAGAGAGAGAGAGAGAGAGAGAGAGAGAGAGAGAGAGAGAGAGAGAGAGAGAGAGAGAGAGAGAGAGCATATCATGTGTCAAGCGTGTGTCTGTACAAGAGAATGTCGATGCCATTGTATATGTGACAGGGTGGACAGATGGATAAAGGATTGTCTGAGAACGTGGATCTATGCTCCAAGCCATACGGGTGTGGTGGGAAATGAACAAACTGGCGAGCCATGCACCTGTCAATACTGACATTAAAATAGACCAAAATGATGTCGTGAAGGCCTTTGCCACCACACTTGAAGATGAGGAGATTGAGCATGACTATGTGCCAGTCTTGTGACTTGAAGAACTGGGTGTCTTCAGAGGAAGTGGCAGAACCAGCATAGTACAGGGGATGGAAAGACGGGTTATTAACCAAATAAACACCGGACCGATCAGCAGATGGACTCTGGAGTGGATACTGGAGCGGGGAGCGGGGAGCGGAGCACGTATGGCAATGCCGTGAGTGCTATGATGTTGTTCCCAGGATCAAGTAATCAAGTATAAATATATGTACGTTTTATATTTGTTTGTGAGCGAGTGCATATGAGTTCGTGCGCGTGAGTGCATGCCTGTATTAAAATTTCTGAGAATATATCATACACTTATGTACGCAATTTTGCTTGTAAGTGTACACATCACAATCTACATAATAATATATTGTATACATCTCCAGACCAGGAGTCGGCGTCCAGGCTACAGAAAGTCCGCGTGAAGTTGCTGAGCTCATGCGCGTGCTTACATGCCTGTATTAAAATTTCGGAGACTATCTCATACACTTATGTACGCAATTTGGCTTGTAAGTGTGTACACATCACAATCTACGACTTTTATACATCTCCAGACCAGGGGTCAGCATCCAGGCTACAGAAAGTTCGCACGAAGTTACTGGATCATCGTAGCTGTGGAGAGGCCACGGGGCACCCAGTAGACCCGCAGTTTCTGTGTGGGCGGGCCTTCAGTACTGGGGGAGGGCCCTGCAAGGTGACTCTGGTTTTGTAACAACTTTTGTTGTCTATCTATTTATTATTACTGGATTACTGGGGGTGGGGGGGTGGGGGGTTGTTTTCATTTTTATTTTCTTATCAATTTGAAAGATTTTGTTTTATTTAGTATTTTCAGGCACGGCACGTGCAACAAAAATAGGTTGCATGAGTGTCGAAGATTAGAAGTTTTCCTAGAAAGTAACATATTTTATAGGGAAAAAAATTAATAAAAAGGAGGTTTGATAGGAGAAGAAGGAGAAAAGCCCCGTACTTCTTGTTTTCCTCCCTTCTTCTTCTGTATTCCACGGTGTGTGTGTGTGTGTGTGTGTGTGTGTGTGTGTGTGTGTGTGTGTGCGTGTGTGTGTGTGTGTGTGTGTGTGTGTGTGTGTGTGTGTGTGTGTACTCGTATATTATTTGTTTGTTTTGGTAAGTGTTTTTACGGCGCTCACAACTGCATAAGGTCATATGAGCGTGCGGGACACACCTAATATTTTCAGTTTGTAGGAAATTTTGAATTTTGCCCGGGTGGCGGCCGAAGCCTACTCTTATCGATTTTAGACCAGCAAGGGATCTTAAACGTGCACAATTTGCACACGGGCCCTCCGAGATTTTTAGTCCTTGTCCGAGAAGGCTAGGTGTAGATCTTTCCTACCAGAAGATCAGGGGTGTGGCAGAAAGACAGCAGTTAGGAGGAGCCAAGGAGTAGCAGTAGAAAGGCTGCAGAAAGAGTCAGGAGCCCAGAGGAGGGGGCAAAGGAGGTGAGGGGGTGGGGGCAGAAAGTGGAAACGAAAGCAGACAACAGAACTTTGCTAGAAAGCAGGAAAGGAGGTGAAAGGAGACAATTTTAGAGAAGAAAATGTTTCGCTCGCTACACGGATTCGAACCCGGGACCTTTTGAATGAGAGGCCAACACCTTAACCTCTAGGCCACGAGAGCCCCTCGTATATTAGATCTATGTGATTGCTAAATTATTATATCTTTATATATTGTAATTACACAATTATAATTATATGTATAGAGATCTATATAACTATATAACATTATATTTGTGTGTACCCCCCAGGGAGACCGCGGCAGCCCCGTGGTGTGTGAGATGGGCCAAGGCTGGGCTCTGGTGGGCGTGGTGGGACAAGAGTTTGCCTGTGCGGGGTCGTCTTCCTCAGTGGTGGGCAGGATCCTCAGTATACCGCACCACTTTCCGTGGATCAACAAGACCATACACATTTTTTAACACTGGTCTATCTCTTTTGTTTATATGGTGGATGGGAAAATAAGATAAATGAATAAACGCTACAATTCGTGTGTGTGGCATGGCGGGTCAAGTTTTGTTCTTGTGTGATAGATCTGACTGTTTTAGTAAGAGTTTTACAGCGCTTGCAACACTATAATAAGGTCAAATAAGTACCGACGATTAGATGCGTTACAAGCATACATATGGTTACAAGAGAGTAACATACATTTAAAAAAAGGAGGGGAGATAAGGACGATAGTTGTTTAATAGGACAGAAGGAGCAAACCACACTAGAGCAGCCACCAACCACCCATTGATCCATCTCATTTGTTTGTGTGGTGGAGGGAAAAATAAGATATGAATAAATGCCACAATTCGTGTGTGTGGCATGATGGCTGGTCAAGTTTTGTTCTTAAGTGATATAGATCAGATAGATTTTTAGTTTTGTTTTTAGCACAGAATTCTACTAGTGGTTTTTTAGTAGTTTTGCGACACGTGCGACAAAAACAGGTCATGTTAGTTCCGATTAGAGGTAGTAACAGTAACATAACAAAGAAAGACGGAGGAGAGATAAGGAAGAAAGACGGTTCTTAATAAATTTTTTTGTGAGCATTTTACAGCACTTGCAACACAAATAGTTCATGCAAGTGTAGAAAATTAGACCTGTTAAAAGAGTACGGTAACAAATACAAAAAGTAGGAGAGATAAGGACGATACATGTTTGATAGGAAACAAGGAGCAAACCATACCAGAGCACCTGTCAACCACCCGCCATCTGACTGTACTTTTCTCGATCCGGAGAACACTTGGGTTTGTACCTTACGACCTGATGTCATGACATGTCGCATGTTGCAGTCAATGATGCCATGACGTGATTTAAAAAAAAAATCACGTAGGTGTTTTTACAGCTCTCATTGACATAATTTAGGAGGCGGACTTCGACCCTGACTTTTTAGTTTTAGTAAGGTTTTTACGGCGCTCGCAACTGCATAAGGTCATATGAGCGCCAAGGGGTGGATGTCAACAGAAAAGTCCAAACGGGGAATCAGGCTTACTCTGCTCACCTCTCTACCATCAACAGCACGAAGTCTGCTTCGACTATCAAGGCACTCCGGAAATAGCAGTTCACAAGAGTGACAAACATACCAAAGAAGTAGAGGAAACATTACGAAAGTAAGGATGAGGAAAGATAAAGCAGCAGTCCCCCCTATGTTGTTCTGGCATAGTATGAGCATGACATTGACATTAATAAATCAGCCCATTTACAATTCTACTGTGGATAAGAACATGTTAATATTCTTCCCCCTTTTGGAATGGCCTAAAGACTACTTCAGTCAGTAGCACTGCCCTGGTTGGGGAGCGACCCTGACTGTCGGGGCCAACCTAGGCAGAGAGGAGTACAACAACTTCCCAGCTAAAAGAGCTGGAAACTCGATAAAAATTATCCCAACTACGGTCTTCTGTGTGCGACCCACTTTGGAGTGACCGCAAAACGCCCAGTTACAACGCCACAGACACCAATATCGTGACTTGTCACTGTAAATTACGACACAGTGCTGTGTGTTGTGTGTATGTGTGTGTGTGTGAGTGTGTGTGTGTGTGTGTGTGTGTGTGTGTGTGTGTGTGTGTGTGCGTGTGTGTGTGTGTACTGTCATTGACTTTATAGCTGTCATCTGGGATAATTGCTTTCTTGTTGTTACTGGTCCAGCAGTCACTTTAGTGTTTTGTGAAGCATTCAGAGAAGGTCATTGACACGATAATGGCCATTTAGCCTAGGAAGAACAAACAATAACAAACAAAACAGACAGGAAGAAACAAAAGAGTGAAAGAAAACCAAACACAGGAGTCTGTGTGAGAGTAGCCTTAGTTGTTAATACACCAATACATAGCAATAGCAAGTACTAAACATAACAACCAAGGAAAGATTGTGTGAAAATTTATTCAGTATAAAATTATAACAGATACACAGATAGCCTATATAAAAAAAAAAAATTCAAAAACTGTTTAACCAATGCAAGAGCGATTTTAAAAAAGCATAAGCTGAAGACGAGCTAGAAACTAAACTAAGCTAGAAAAAAAATTCTCCCTCCCATTCCCATTAAAATCAAGCAAAAAACCTGAGACCGAAGTGGTATCAAAGACAAGGAAATAAACAATAATACAACAACTTCACAAAAGGATAGCACCACAGCTTTCATTCATTCACATTTTTTCACACACACAAAAAAAAGTCTTCCAAGTTTTCCTCAAACTTACCATCAAACAAACCGAAAGAGATCTGTTGTTGCATTCTATGCCACTACACAAATCAAAGGCAAGAGGGTTAAACATTAACAGGAAATTTCCACAGAGCGACAAGGTGGCACATGAGACAAGGCTCAATTCTCAACGAAGGAGGCATGCATAGATAGAGTGAACAGTTCTAACAGTCCATCCATCCACGAAAACATATAAAAACTGACACACGCACTGACACACACACACACACAAACAGACATACACAAACACACTCAATCCTACAGACACGCACATCAAATAGAGGTACACACAGACACCCACACAAGCAAAAACGGTTCACGCGCTCAAGTCTGTTCAACTCTGGTATCCACTAGCACCAGGAATCAGTGCAAGCGTGCGGCAGATCCAGCCTGGGCAGACTGGCCACCGCACTGGACGGATTTCTGATTGCAGACATGCGTACAGACAATAGGACAAGGAGAGGAATTAATCATAACAGGGAATATTGGAGAAATATTTCTGAGAGCGTAACATGAGCAGAAGTGGCACAGTTTTTGGAATAGACAATTAACAAAGAAATTTTGTGTATAAACTACAAAGGCAGAGCAACCAGTTTGTTGCCCATCTTCCAGAATGTATAAGTAAGATTTAGGTAACGGATAAAGATTTAAAGCAGTAGAAAAAGTTTTGAGTTTTGATAAATGTAGTGAACTTTGCACTGTTTTTAGTGTGCCTTCCTGCACATGTCACTTATTTTGGTGTCAGATTTTTAATAAAAATCAATAGGAACATCAACCAAATATTTAAAAAAAGAATTTGAAACCAACTTTGTCATTTTCAATCAGCAGTAACTACGGGAGACATGAGCTCCAAAAGCTATGTTCACATCATTGTGATTCATGGTGCTCTGTTACTAGAGGAGCAGCGAAAAAATTATTCAAATACTGTCTTAATTTTGGACAACTAACGGACAACGTACAACAGCCTGTGTAAAGTCAGGGCAAGAGGACAGAGAGAAAAAAGTAAACACATTATAGTTGATAAATAAAATATGCTTTTATAATACATATCACAGTGGTTTTCTGTTGTATAAATTGCGCACATATATTTGATTTTGTAAATCCCAAGATCAAACAAAATTTACGAAAATTCCATATGGGTGTACAAACATCCAATAGAAGATTTGCAATTGTAATGTTTCAATTCACAAAGCAAAAATAAATTATCACAATTATTAGAAAATGTAACAAAAGTACAGGAACAATGTAGAATACAGACAAATCCATTAATTTCGGTGGACCTTGAGACTGTACACAATTTCCATTAACTGTTTGTCGATAGTATCCAAAAAGAGTTTTGTAACTTCAATACAATCTGTTGGCGATTACAGATCTGTGAACATTTCCAAAAGTGTAAACCCTGATGGACATACATATAAAGTGTTCAAAAGTTTAGAAATCCATTTTGAACAATTTGAAGGACATTTTCCTTGAGTTCCTTGTGACTTTTTCCTCATGACTTTAAGTGGAAGTTAAAGTGACAGCTTAGTAGCTTACGGTTTTGCATCAATTCGAACTGAAAGCTCATACCACACAAAGTGACATTAACTGACTCCACTCGTCAGTCATTTCACGAGTGACCATCTCTGACCCCCTTGGAACAAACAACATTGAAGCTTGTCGAAAACTCAAAATGCAGTGAGCAGCTCCACCTCCTATTCCGTTCCCGCAACGACAGAGTTCCACATACGTGGCCGGCCCTGCTGGAACTCTCCCTGTCCCTCTGTGGCCATGTGGTCCTTGTACTCCATCAGAGCCTGCATGCTCAGTGGCTGCCAGCTGGACTGGAAGCGAGAGGCTGGGCTCGGTGCAGTGGCCACGTCATAGCGGTTGCCCAGGGCACCTGGAGGGGAAAACAAGTTTGTCGAAGACATGAAGATGATGGAGTTTTAGTTGTAGTTAGAGTTCTAAGGCACCCACAACATAGGTTGTACTACTGCTAAAAGTTAGAGGCATTACAAGAGAGCAATATACAAAGAAAAGAAGGAGGAGCTATACGGAGGAGAGGTATTGGATAGGAAAGAATGAGGAAAACCACATCAAGGCACCTGCCAATCACCCACGTATGGCGATGGACAATACTACAAACTTTACAGATATGTCGTGAAGTCGAAGGTTACAAACCACAACTTGGCACAGATGGCCTTACAAATGGAGTGTTAAGGTGAAAACAATCTTTACCAAAGTTAACATATCCATTTGAAGCGTGGGTGATTTGAGGGTGCCATTTGTAGGTCCTGCTTCTTTACTTTCTCTCTGTTGTGTCTGTCTGTCTGTCTGTATGACTTTTCAGCAGCACTAAGTCAGTGATCACCAGCATCCCAACATACAACACACAGAACATGACAGATAACTTGTAGCAGGCGTGCCAACTTTTTCCTGAGCCAACAAGGGACACCCAAAGTCATGACATCACATTACGTAACAACAAATAAAATGACACCCAGTAAGAATGGTTTTCGAGAAGCGAAGCAGATAACGCCCTCAAATCTCCGACAGCCAAAGCCGGGAAAGTCCTGGAAAATTGGGAACAATTGGCAAAGCAAAAATCTCCTTACCTGCAATGGGGTGATGGGTTGTCCGAGACTCCTGGGCCGAGTGAGCCTTGATGCTGGGCAGAGAGTGCTGTACCTGGCCGGGACTGCCTGGCAGGAGATCCACGCGACCCAGGTCAAGCTTTTCTTTGTCCAGTCCCAGTTTCTCCAGGAAGGCTCCTTCAGATTTGGCCTCCTCCTCTGTCAAAAAGTGGAGCCTGAAACAATAAACAAAATGTAAGGTCCATGACTGAAAATACCACACGAAAAAATTTAATTAAATATAAACGACTGAAAGATAACAGGAAATATCACTGTCACAAGTGAAAGCCAACGGAGAGAATATTACTTTCGTGACAGAATGACAACAGAGGAATAAATGTTGTGTCTACGGCTGGAAGACAATATGGGAAATACAACCTCATGGCTGAAAAACAACAGAGGAATAATGTTACATTTATGATTGGAAGATAACAGAAGAATAAAGAGAAAACTGGTTGTCAAAATATCTTGTACATTATACTGGCACATTAAGGAAGCTTCCAAAGCATTTACCATTTGGCTTTCGATACCACAATTGAATGTCTGGGTGCAGGACTCCGACAAACACTAAACTGCAAAATGGCGTTTGCTGGAGTCTTGCATCTGGCTATCCAATTGGACCAGATAAGCATTTATTTGTAGTTAGGATCTTTACTACTTCTTCAAGTGTTTAACATCCTCACTAGTCACAGATGAGAACTCGACTAAAGGGACAAAAGAAACACCTGATGGGATTCTTACTTTTGATTTCAAATTATTTAATCAACCTTCAAACATGGAGAATGCAATTATGCTGTTTGGGTCTCATTACCAAGTACTGATCAAATCTTCAAAGGCTCTTGGAATGTACGCCAACACAAAGAAACATTGATGTCACATACTGCAATTACACAAGACACAATAAAATCTTAAATTTGCAACACAAGTGCTACTTTGATATTCCATTTATGGGACAGCCACTTTCTAAAGCATTACCAGAATTCTGGACATGTATGGAAAAAGACGAAAAGAGCTCAGCCCAATAAAAGAGCTACTCAAAGTATACGTGCCATTAATCTATGGAAGTCACCCTCTACTGTATTACCAGAACTCTGGACATGTATAGAAAACAATGAAAATTATTGCAAGCCCCCCCCCCCCCCCCCTTTCCTCCCACTGCCCACTGACCTGGGTGAGGGTCTGGGCTTGTTGCGGGCCATGATGGTGTGCCAGATGTTCTGTAAGCCGTCACTGATGTCAGACCCCAGCGGGCTCAGCACAGACATTGGGTGCTGTCTTTTCCCCTTGGGCAACTCCTCTTGCGATGCTTCCACGTCTGTCCCCTCCTCCTCCTCATCATTGAAATCTCGCGGTGACGGCTTCAGCCATCTCCTGTACGTGGCTTCTGTGCTTTCCTAAAAAAAGAAAAAAGAACAGGATGAACATTTTGGGAATGCTGAGGGGAAGACAGCGGGAGAACACTTTTCTTTTCCTTTCTAAGAGAGCAGAGACCATTTGGCCCACAGAGGTTTTGTTGTTGTTGGGTCGCAGATTATAGCGAAAGGGTTTGAAAACAGCTTCCCTTCACCAGAAAGCAAATGTGGCAAAGTTTGTCATTGTCAAGTTGTAGTGAACAGTTAAGACCAAGAAACTTTCATTTTCAACGATCTGAGAAGATAAATGTAACCCCGGAACAGTGATATGATTCCAAGTATCTGTGCTATCATAAAGAACTTGTCAGTTTGTTGTAACAACACCTAGCAGAAAAAAACATAAATAAAAAACCAAACCCAAGAAAAAAAACACCCAATAAAATTGTGAAAACATTCATTGTTCCCTCAAACAATACATGCACCAACAAGAGAAAAATATATTAGCAAAAAGCCAAACTAATGTATTAGGAGTTTACTGGGGTTTTTTTGTCTATCCCCTGCTTCTTTTTCCTTCTATTTTTCCCAGTGTGAACAAGATGCTACCATAATCAGCTCATTATTTTTGCACATCAAAAAACATTGACATGAACAAATAACCAAACAATCAAACAAAGCGCAGGAGCTGACATACTGATGCTGAGTCATCCCACGAGGGCAGGTACTTCTGTATCCCATCCTCATCGCCGTCCGACACGGTGGGCAGCGGGCTGTTGAACAGCAGCACTTTGGTGCGGTCGTTGTTGGTCTGGGAGGACCGGTACATCAGCTCTGTCTTGTGCCGCAGGACTCGAACCCGCCTCAGCAGCGACTGATCCAACAGACGGTTCAGGTCCGGAACCTGGTCACACACAAACAAAAACACAGATTTATTCACAGCTCATGTTATTCTTGACCTTAGAAATGTCATGCTATAATGACAATAAAATGGGATTACCATTCTCATGATCTACTGATAGAAGAAGAAAATATATATGACAAGTATGAACAAAGATTATGTAATTGCATAAAGAACATGATAATGATAATAATAAGACAATGATAATACAGTCGAACCTGTGTAAGACGGAATCGCAAGGGAGCCAGAAAAAAATTCCGTCTTAGACATTATCCGTCTTAGACAGGGGGGTTTTTTTAAGAACCCGCTTTTTGGGGGGGGGGGGGGGGGGGAGGTTAAAAGGCCCAGCCGGAGAGATCAAGGATCGCTTGTCCGATCGGCAAGCAGTGGTCAAAACTTCACACCTCTCAAGTGCTATCCTGTGTCATAATGACATGGGTAAGTCTTACTTATCCAATTACCACCAGTGCTTGCCTTTTATAGGATCACTGTTTGACCTATTATAATTAGAAATGTTTGAACATCTCCTTTGCTTCCACCCTTAGCCCCACCCATCAATGCCACCCCTCATTGCCATCATTGTAACAACGATTCGAGGAACTCTTTTCTCGGCTGGCCATACGATCAGGGCAGCAGGCATTGGTCAATCTAATTTCCCACCTCTGGCTTCTGGCTATCCAGGAAAGTTTCCGTGATGGATCGCTACTCGAGCACTCTCACGGGCAGTCGTGAGATTTCACACCCACACTACGCTGACCATCTGCATTGCTCAGGGCTCACATGATGGGGTAACATCTACCCCCAAATTGCACCCCTACTCCCCTTCCTCGCCCAGCGGCATGGCCATAGCATTAAGTTTAGAGCCGGCGGAACCAAGCTTGCGAGTTTTGTTTCAAATCAGGGCTGAGTGGGCAAAGCATTTTCCGTCTTAGACAGGTGAAACCCTCGGAAGGGAGCAGATTTTTCTTTCCGTTTCCGCGTTAGGACAGGTTTCCGTTTTATACAGGTAATCAAAGAGGAATGTATCAAGGGGGGAGCAGGGAGATTCCGTTAAGACAGGTTTCCGTTTTATACAGGTTTCCGTTACGGCAGGTTCGACTGTAATAACACCACAATAATAATTACATTAATAATAAAAACAGTATTCAACAATAACAATGGAAGCAGACTGGTAAAAAAAGCTATAGAAAGTACTATGCCCAGCTCTAACCCTTTTAAGAAAAGACACAAAACAACCTGAAAGGAACAAAAAAGAGCTTTGTTCTTAACAAATAAGGCATCAAATACAAAAGAACAAAAACCTATCAGCCTATGTGACACACAAGATGAGACTCACATCATCCGTCTCTGTGAAGTTCCTGAAGACTGGCCTCTGGTGTCTGTTGATTCCCTCCCTCACATGGGAGCTGAAGGCATCCTGTAAACACACACATACATATTTTGTGACGCACAAATATACAAACACATGCTAAAATGCACACTCATGCTTACACATAATGGGTACACTAACGCTACAGCTACTAAAATTTAGACGATTTAGAGTAAAAATAACTGCACCTCCATTCGGTAGTGATAAAACTTTGTTGAAACTTTACAACTTAAAAAGGAAATAAGGATAACCATACAAATACCACTCTGAAGCACAAAGAAAGCACATTATGACATTATAGGGATATGAAAAAATAATGACCCACCACACAGAGTGAGCATCCAGTCTAGGTCATTTCTAGGGCAGAGCATTTGGACTCGCGAGCTTTTCAGTCTTAGTAACAGTTTTATGGCACTTGCACCACATTTGTGAAAGATAAGTGCTGAAGATTAGAGGTGTTACTTGAAAGTAACATGCAAAGAAAAGAAGGAGAGATAATGAGGCTTGATCTTTGGTAGGAAAGAAGGAGCAAACCACACCAGAGCACCCGCAACAACCCTCATCCCTGAGCCGAGAAGAAAAATATTTGAGGATGGACAACAGACACTCCGACTCCACTCACTTTAAGCTCCTGAGGGAACCTGCGGTCAGTGCGGTAGAGCTTGGACATAGAGTCGTTCCGCAGCGTGGTCCAGATGTGACTGGCCCCCATGTGACCTGCGAGAGAAAACCAAAAGGAACGTGAGACAGATTCAACAGCAAGTCACCACCAGAACAATCATATTTTGCCGATGTTGGATCGTTTGTCTGTTTGTTTGAATAGAGAGAAGAACAACATTGAACATAAAACTGCCATTAAATGCTGAAAAAAGCATGAAAGACAGACAGACATGACAGAGAAAAGAACATAGTATGACCTACCACTGGCGCCTTTCAACCACCCGCCAATGACAGAATACGGTTACCTAAACACAGGGGAAAAAAATAGGCATACCAAGAGCAGATCACACATGGGCACCCATCAACCACCTGATTACATACAGCTCATAGGACATCATGGTACCATACATTAATAAGAGCATATCATGACAGAACTTGACACTTTGTTTTTTCAAAGAACTTTGGTACAAAAAGCACCAGAGGGGCTGACTGACTATTCTGACATCATGGCATGACTTGCGTTGTATAAGTCACAGTACTAGCAGACTAATGAGTGAAAAGGATGACATTATATTGTAAGCATGACGTAAACAGGCAGGAGAAATTTTGAGAACAGTTCTCTCATCTGATCAAAATGTACTATCTGTACCGTATTTTATTCTTAGATTTTAGATAATAATAACAATAATAGCACTAGTATAGTGCATACCCCGCCTCAACAGCGCCTCTATGCGCTTTACACTATATTATTACCCCAGCAGACCATCGAACACTCAGAAACATTCTCAGCTTCACGGGAAGCATACAGATGTCTTATAGAAAAAGATTTATAATGTAAGTCCACCTAACGTAGCATAAGCAAATAATATTATTATCTACTTCTCGGCCTCAGATCAACAAATCCTCTAAAATGTGAAGCACAGTCTGACATAAATCAATCTAACAACAAATCACTACAGCCCATTCTTAATCTAGTCCAAACTTCGATGCCACAGAATAATAATATTGTGAGGCACAGATTAAGCCGCAGGTCTAGCATTTAACCAAGAAACTACAAACAATGTCTCCTCAATAATGGTCAAGGAGCAACGGAGCAACGGACAACATCCCTCCCCGCTCCCCAAAATACAAAATATTTGAAAACTGCTTATCAAACTAATAAAATGCACAGGCAGCCATTGTGACAAAGTTCTCCATTCAATGACAGAAATGAGTAGAGAGAAACAGGCATAGTAACATTCAGAAAGATGACAATGTGAACATTATAATTACAATGTTGTAGCCAAATGCTTTGGAGTTAAACTGCGATAAATGGAGACCAAATTACTCACTAAAGCCTACTCACTCTACAAGCTGCTGCTACTACTGCTACACACACAAAGTTGAATACAAATCAATTTCTGATATTCAAACCAGATCCACGAAGTTATAGGAACCAGTATAGAATTTGGACATTTACTCTATCAAACTGAACATGTTAGTGGGAATACAATCAGTCTACTCAAGAGCATTCAAATATTTTCATTAGAAAATTATTAAATATAAGCAAGTTTAAAGTTGATTTATACTTTAAAGAAGGGAACCTTAAACTAGTATGCTCAGGTGCTGAGCTAACATTAGGAAAAACAGCAAGACTTTTGAAATTCTTTGCGCTCGATAACTTCAGGACTGCCCTGATATATTCTATCAAAGGTTGCGAAGTGACAGTTTTTGGAAGAGTTGCACGGGTATGCCATTATACTGCAAACGCAAAAGTCATTCAAAACAACATTAAGTGATAAGTAACCAGAGAGTGACAGGGTGCAATATAGGGACTTATCGTTGTGTTTTCGGATTAAAATAGAGATTTACACATTCTGTAATAGAAAAGCTTGTACTGTGTACAGTCAAGACTGTCCGACCTACATGTCGTGAATCATGTGGTGTACAATTGAAGATGAATACCTGTGCAGAGAAGTGAACACAGTAGTGATATGCAATGACTACCTTTGCACACCAACAGCGACAAATAGTGACCCGCCGGTAAGTATTACCGTTGCACACCAATAATGACAAGCAGTGAACAGATTCGCCATAACATGCAGTGTCGAGCTTCTCACAGTGACAAAGATATATGGTGACTAGTTTCTCACATCAATGGGGGGGGGGGACATGCAGTGACCTGTTTCTTTATAAAATGGGAGTGACTTGCTTCTCACACCAACAGTAACATGCAGTGACTTGTTTCTCACATCAATTGTGACATCCAGCATGTCACTTCCAAATTCACGCAACAGAGTTTAGAAGCATTTATTCACACTAACGAAAACTCCAGAATAAAGACAAGATTGGAAAAAAAAAAAAAGTAAGAGACTTAAAAGAGAAAAAAAAAGTAAAATTGTTTCATTTCTAAACATTAAGCCATGTAGATTTAATAATAACTAAAAACATAGTTACACTTGAAGTAGAGTATAAACAGAAAGGAAAAGCAAACATTTAAGAAAGAGGCACAAGGCCAAACTATTCCAAGGCCTACTTGCCAGAGAAATTAAATAAGAATTAAGAATAAAGTAAAGAATAAAAGGGGAATTAATAAGATAATCTGTTCTTTAAAAAAATATTTGCAAAGACTAAGACTTTGTTCTTATTCTACTCATTAGAAAATTGTAATCTTCTTTTTCTTGAAAGAGTCACTACTGAGTAAAGAGGGAACATCAAGGAAGGTGAACTAATAAAAAGCACTCACGGCAGCCAAAAACCACACCACAAAAATTCCAAACAACAGAGGAACAAGCTAAAAAAAATAATGAAAAGAAAGACAAGGGTAAAAAAAAAAAGGGAAAAAAAATGAAAAATGAAAAATGAAAAAAAAAGACAATATTATTATGAATAAGTAACAGCTATAAATCAACTCGATGCAATTTCACATACCCATTTTTCTCACTGAAACAAATTTTGAGAGTATAACATGTTAGTCACTCTATAAATACGGTACAAGAATTTCAGTCAGATATGGTCCCATAGTTCACAAAAACACAGCAATATACACACATATACATAATGCATGACGTTAGTCTCTAATCAGCATATTTTCTGGCTTGCAGAGGCCAAATTAGCAACAAGCGCTATCATCACCAGACTCTTTAGTTCCTTCTCCTATAGAACCCCCCACCCCACCTAACCTGTCCCTTAAAAAACCATCTTCTCATTTCATGCTGATAAATACACACCGTACTGAATTTGATCTACTCTGTTTTGAATTTTTGAGTTTTTAAATTCATAAGTATTAAAAGCCTAAACTGACCGTGTAAAGACAGGGAAACAATGAACTTTACACTAGAAACTAACCAGTCCACCTCATTGGCAAGCTGCTGACTTAATGCAGCATTTATTTCAGCATCTGGGTTAAAAAAAGCAGCACGCTGCAAGGAGAATAATAGCAATATTTTTTTTTAAAAAAACCAAACCTTATTACAAAGCTGTATTTTCCATCACACTTTAGTCATAGGTAAAGTGCAAATTTATGATGATAACACATATCAAAGAATTTTCCATTACAATGGCAATTCTATAAAAAGTATATGCATGGGTGCAGAAAAATATAAAACCAAACCATATTACAAAGCTTTACTTTTCATCACACTTTAATCATATGTTAAGTGCACAATAATGAGGATGATAATGTATTTAAAAAGAACTTTCAATTACAAGGGCAATTCTATTTATAAAAACCATATGCATGGGTGCAGAAAAAAACAAAACAAAAACCCTTAGTATTTCACCGAGCCAAGATCAAAGCTATACATGTATCTCGCTCACCTTTCTGGCCTTTGAGCGTGGGATTGACCACTTTCTTCTTCTCAGGCTGCATCTTGGGGTGGATGTAGTAGTCGGCGTTCCTGCCGTACATCTTGTAGAGTTGGGCGTGGTGCCAGGGGACGGCGTTGAGGTCGGCCGGAGTGACCACGCCACTGTCCACCAGGTACCTCTTGCCCTGCTTCCCCTCGCCCTCCTCCGCTTCCTCTTCCTCGTCCTCTAGCTCCTTCATCGGGGAGGTGGCTGGAGCGTACGAGTCGGAGGGCATGTAGCCCTTGTGGGCCGGTCTGCGGCTCTTGTCCCTGCCGCGACCTCCCGAGGAGTCGGTGGACGGAGTGCTGGGGGCAGAGCCAGCCTCTTCTTCATTGCCAGGCTTGGCGGCATTCTGCTGCTGACGATCACCGGCTGCAGAACAAAGTAAGAATAGCTTTCAGATTTCAAGTAACATCTCGTAAAGAGTTGGGCTTTTTGTTTGTTTGTTTGTTTGTTTGAGTAAACAGAAGCACTTTGACATTCTGCTGCTGTCGATCACTGGCAGCAGAACAATGTAAGAAACACTTTCAGATTTCAAGAAACATCTTGTAGATAGTTTTTTTTTGGTGTGTTTTTTTTGGTTTAAGTATACAGAAGCACATTGACATACCGATGACTACTAAGTTTCACATAAAAGCAAGGCAGGCAGACATAAACAACAAAGAAAAAAAAAAAGAAGTAGGATCTATCAGTGGCGCCCTCCAACTACATGCTTATTTAGAAGGTAGAAAAATAAATCTCACAAGCAAAAAATGAAAAATACGTGTACGGTTGGTACCCATTTCCTTTGCACCTTGAAATTTCTATCATAAAACAATTTGCTGACAGCCATCTCCTCTGTGAAAAACTGCAAAACATGAGAGAACATTTTCTGCAGTCACAACTGACTCAAAAACAAAAACATCACCACTGCCACAATGACAATGAAATGACAATGATATCCCTACTGACACTACAACAACACACCTGTACGTTGATGTGATGGTTAATTGTCCACTAAAAGAAAGTTGGGGACAGGAAAACTAGGCCGTGACACTCACCTAAGGACAGTTTAAATTTGTCATGCAAGCCTGCAAGTTTTTCCTCTTTGGCCTTGCGCTCATCCTCCCGTATCTGAAAAACATCAAAAATAGACAAATTAAGACTCAGATCACTCATACTTTTTTGCAGACGAATCTTTGTTCTTCCAGACTCAAAGCAGCAGGCATTATCTCCAGAACATAATGAAATATATGCATGTACAAGAGTCTTAGGACGGGAATTGCATAATATGCATATATGGTTATAGTCATGTTCGAATTGCCGATCTCCATACATAAGTAGAGATAGATAGAGAGAGAGAGAGAGAGAGAGAGAGAGAGAGAGAGAGAGA